ACAAACAAAAATGTACAACCAAAATTTCACAGTGTTATAAACTATTAAGACGTCAATAAAAAAAAAACTTTCAATAAGGTTATTTTGATTTTTTCTTTTCATTTTTTTTTTCTTTTGCTGAGGAAGATTCGCTCTGAGCTAACATCTGTGCCAATCTTCCTCTATTTTGTATATGGGTTGCTGCCACAGCATGGACGCCGATGAGTGGTGTTGGTCTGCGCCCAGGAACTGAACCCAGGCTGCTGAAGTGGAGCATGCTGAACTTAACCGCTAGGCCACAGGGCTGGCCCCTCAGTAAGGTTATCTTGGAATTTTGAAGTTTTTGCTTTTAAGTGCACTTCTTAAATGATCTTATCTAATCAGAATGTTCCTTCTAATGGCCAATATAATTCCCCTGAGGCTGGTGGCAGTTTGGTAGGAATCTTAGCCACAAAAGGAAGTGCAACCCGCATTTCTGTCCAACCATCTCTGACTGCAAGATAGGGTGCAACCACATTTGTGTCCAGCCATATTTTGGGGCCCCAATCTGATGATTATTAAGCCAAGCCCTCGGGACACAAAACAAGCTTGGTAAGATTTTTGCTGTTCTTCGTAAATATTTACAGCTTTTGGAACCTTTAGTTTTTGATCAATTGAGCTAGAAGTTGCCGAGCTTGACTCTTTAAAGATTTCTCGAGTAGGGGGAGGACAAAAGGGGTAAAGGGGCACATATGTATGGTGACGGATGAAAACTGGACTGTTGGTGGCGAACACAATGCAGTCTATACAGAAACTGAAATATAGTGATGTACACCTGAAATTTACACACTGTTGTAAGCCAATATGACCTCAATAAAATAATTTAAAAAAAAAGAGTTCTCTGTTATCTGGCTCTTAAAAAGGAGCCTCAAATTGGCCACTGTAATTTTAAATTATCCCAGATTATCTTGCCAGCCGTTTACAGTTATTCCCATTTTGTTAAGCACTTGCAAGTCTCAGCATGAAGCCAGCTGGAGTTCCCAGAGGAGGCAGCCCATTTGGGAACTGGTAAGCTTTTAGAAGCTCAATTTCTGATTTTTCTATTAGTTTTGTTTTACTATAAAGCCTGAACAACTTCTAGGGACAGTGTAGTGGGTCAGAAATGTGCTGCTTGTGAGTGTTACTCCCTAGAGAAAGGTTGTAAACATTCTCTTATGTGCCTCAGTTTCTCCCACTGGCAGTCTAAAACTGCTGTGGGGGCTCTGAGCGCTGGCAGACCACTCCTCATTTGCATATCCCCCAACCAGCCTTTAATTAATTAACGTGAGTGATAGTGGAGTTCCCTATGGGACCGATAGGAGTCATGAGGATTGATCCTCCCGCACGTCCACATGGTTCTCAGTCACCTGAGAATGCCTTTCAGCTGGAAGGAGCTTGTGTGGGGTCTCCTTGGAGCTGAACAAGTTCAGACTCATTTCTCTATCAAGCAGTTATGTTCCACCTTATAAACATTATTCTTTCCAATTTTAAATCCAAATTAAAAAAAAACTACCAACCCACTTTACTCCAAGCTTCCCCCAAGCTCCCCTGGCCTAGGAAATTCCCCCTAGATTCCTCTTACCTAGGGTGTGTACCGGTACCCCCTTAAGACACCTAGTCTTAAGGCTCGAAAGAGCTCATATAACTGGACCATTGACTTAAAATAAGGAGGTCTGAGTTTCAGGAGAACTCACAGGGGTCACCTGAAGAATGCAGTGATCCCAGGGGCTCAATAGGCCACTATTGGTACTGAACGCCCATTCAGTATGGATTCCAGGTGGTCTCCAACGGGTTTCTCTGAAATCCTGCTGAAACTATGCCAAGAAATGTTGACACAAATAATGAGTAATCAATCTACAAATCAAAACAGGGGTGAGTTTATTATATGAGCCAGGTCTGAGGACTATAGCTCGGGGCCTTCCTTCCCCAAGTAAGGAAGCACACTGAAGAAGTGGGGTGTACAGAATGGCTACATACCATCTTGGAACAAAGGGCATACATCACATATGACAGGAATGTCTCTTTTACTACTTTCATGAGATGGTTGGCTGGCACACCAGGTCAGTGGTCGTAAGGTGAGCACAGCAGGTCAGTAATTAATCCTTGGCTTCTGGGAAGAAACGCTTATCCTTAAAGAGATGCAACATTCCTATCTTTAAGGGCATCATTGTTGTCTTTGGGACATTGTAAATGTTTAAAGCAGATGCACAATGCATGCTCAACAGGCCACATCAGGTCTTTCTGGAAAAACCAAGTCAGGCCGGATCAGTTTTAAAACGAATGGCTTTCTCATATACTCCAATATATCCTATTACTTTTCATTTATTCATCACCACAATCCATGACATAGATATTATACTCATTTTACATGGGAGAAAACAGATTCAGACCACAACCCAACTCTCCCCCCACCCAAGTCTGCCTAACTCCTACTGCTGCAAACACCCCTTGGGAATTCAGGGACCATTCTACTCCCCGCTCTGCGGTGGACTTGAGGCTGACCCTAGGCTAGCTCCTTCCTCTTTCCGGGCTTCAGTTTCCGAGGACCGCAGCGAACAGGCTCCTTCCTTATCACCCAGCCGCTGCACCGGCCAGCTGTGGCGCAAGTGCAGCGCAGTAAGGAGCCCTGCTCCATCCCTCAGCCGCACACCCCCGGGGGCGCAAAGGAGGACGCGGGAGACAGCGATGGACCAAGCCTTTATTATTGCGGGGCAGCGGGAGGAGCGCCGAGCTCAGGGCCCCCCCACTTCTCCGGCTCCGGCCTCCGCCCGGGCCCGTCGGGGTCCTCGGCGGGCTCGTCGGCGAACACTGCGCTGTGCATGGCGGCCACGTAGCTGCAGCCACTGGGGTCGGAGAGGCGCAGCTGTGCCAGGGGCAGGAAGCGCTCGGTGCTGAAGTAGCGCAGGGCCGGCCGCGGGGCGCGCAGCGCGGTGAGGAAGACCTGCGGCGGCGGGAGGAGACGCGCTGGCCGGGACTCGGCGCGTGGACTCGCGTGCCGCCCCGCTCCCGGAGCCCCGCCCGGCGCCCACCTCTGCCACCTCCTCCGGGTCCTGCGCCGCCTCGCAGTAGACCTGCTCGCAGTGGCGCAGGTAGCGGGAGAAGAGCTCGCGGGTCTCGGCGTCTGCGCCGTCCAGCTGCCCGCCCGGGCCGCCCTCCAGCTTCTCCTGGAAGGCGGTGTGCACCGGGCCGCACTCGATGAGGCTCACGCTGCGGGCCCGAGAGCGGCGAGTGGGCGCGGGCGGCTGCGAGGGGCCGCCGAGCGGGGAGCGGAGGGCCGGGAGGAGTCTGCGCGCGGGCGGGGGGCGCTTTAGATAACCAGAGCATTTGAAAAGCGGTTTACGGCCCGAAAAGCGCTTCCACATCCATTTGAGGATGGGAGAGAGACTCTGGAGTCAGAATTCCAACCTGGCTGGGTCACTTACAGCTATGTGACCTTGGGCCAGTCACCTAACCTCCCTGGGCCTGAGCTTCCCAGTAACAATACCGACACCTCACCAGCTAGGTCGGTAGGAGAAGTGAGATAACCCGTGCCAAGCGCCCAGTGCAGTGCCTGGCACACAACAAAGGCGAGCCGCAGTAGGGAGAGCCAGGGAGAACGCTTGAGAGCGGCTTCAACAAGACGGGGTGCTGGGCTTCCCAAAGTCAGGGTTCAGACGGGTCGGGGGCGGGGCGGTGACTCACTGGACCCCGAAGGGCTGCAGCAGAACCGCCAAACTCTCGCATAAACCTTCGATGGCGAACTTGCTGGCGCAGTAAACGGTGTTGAAGGGCAGCCCTTCGAAGGGAGATGAGGCTGCTGAGGCGCGTCGGGGAGGGGATCCGTGGAGAGCCCGCTGCGCACCCTGCAGCCCGGGGCCAGTCTCACCAGGCCCGCCCCTCCCGCTGCGTGCCGCCCGCTCCCACTCACCCATCAAGCCTCCCATGCTCCCGGTCACCAATATGCGTCCCGAGCGGCGGCGCTTCATGTCCGGCAGGAAGGCCTGCAGCGTCCGCACGGTCCCGGCCACGTTCACGTCCAGCACGGAGGCCACGGCCCCCGCCGTGAGCACCTCGAGCGGCCCGAGCAGGCCCCGGCCCGCGTTACACACTGTAGGGAGGGAGGCCCGACCCGCCCACCTCACTCACGGCCCTCCGACGGGTTCCCTGGGCCTCAGGACATCTTGGTTTGGACACAGGGCGAGGACATCTTGGTTTGGACACAAGGCTCCCGTACGTATGTTGCGGGGAGACTCACCCAGCACGTCCACGCGGCCCTCGGTCACGCGTGTCCGGGCAGCGGCCACGGAATCTGCGTCCCTCACGTCCATCTGCAAGGTCTCCAGGGAGCCGGGAGGGCACCCTCGGGCCCGGGCCGCCTCCCACAGCGGGCCCTGCGCCCTCAGGTCCCGCAGCGTGGCATACACTGGAGGTTTGGGCAGAAGACGAGGATCTGAATTCCCTGCTTACAGCTACCTAGGCCCCCTTGGACCAGGGGCTGCTCCCTTTTCTCCAACTTCGTGCCCTCCCGTACCTTTGAAACTTCGGGACGGGTCAGATGCCAGACGCAGGGCCAGGTGCAGGCCAATGCCCGAAGAACAGCCGGTGATGAGCACCACGGTGCAGTCCATGAGGAGACCAGTCAGGTACAGGAGGCGCCTGAGAGTGCTAGACCCGGGTCTCTGGGCTGGATATCACGTGCTACGCCACGCCTTGCCCGCCAGGGTCCCCACCCCTTGTTATGTCTGCCATGCAATCTCAAGGCTGAGCCCTCCTGTGGGTCCCTGGCCTGCTCTCCCCACCCTGCCCCAGGTTAAGGCAGAGATGAGGCCAATGCTTGGGACGTCAGTTCCTTAGTAGTTGGTCAGAGGGACGGTAAAATTTTGCAAGCAGGAGGTGTGGGCTCCCGTGTGGGCACTGAGTAGCCCTGGGCACATCTTCCCCTGGGCATGCCTGTGTCCCACAGGGACAATTAAGTTTGCCACTGAGGTTGTGAATGTAATTGCTTTCGGAGGGCATTCTCAGTTCAAAGCCCAGGGGTTAGTATTAAAAATGGGGAGGCTGAGGCAAGGCAGCAGGGAGAACTGGCCCCACACCATTGTGCACACTATAGCCCTGAGTCCTCCCAGGCATCATGGCAGTGACATTCTGACAGACAAGTCTAGGTGATTCATCAGTTTATTAAGTTGTGTTAAAACAGTACTTTGATCCCAAACTTGGGGTAGTGGGGGAGGGCAGCTTATCTCCCTCCAAACGGCCCATACCTGATCCCACCAGTATGTCTTGAGTTCCTTCACCCAGGCCTGGGGACCTTCTGTGACGCTTGTCCAGCTCCAGGCCCCAGGAACCTGCCTGGAGTTGGAGTTTGAGGAGAACATGACCCAGGGGTGGTTAATCTGTCACAAGAGCCAGCCACCCACCGGGGGTAATATTTGAGAAAGAACTTCTTGGCTAGGTCCACGGTGTCCCCTTGGGGCTGGCTAGGATATCTCTGTGTGCTGAGGACGAAGGCCTGCTCCAGCTGGAAGGCGTTCTTGTCAAACTGGTGCTGTTGGAAGGGGATGCCTTGGGCCAGGCTCTCAACCAGCATCTCCATGAAGAGCCGCCAGCGGGGGGTGTAGTAGTTGGCCACCAGTCCCGCCAGCTGCTTGTTGGCATAGTCTAGAATGTTCCCCTCTGGCCCCCAGAGGGTCAGCTGGTAGCGACTGTTCTGCTCATAGAAATGGGCCTCGGCCTCACTGACTGCCGCCTCGTGGGCCTGCTCCAGCCAGCTGCCCAGCAGGAAGTGGCTGTCACTAGCCAGCACCTTGTCCAGTGCGGGCAGAAGCTCGTAGGCCAGCATGCCTCCGGCCCGCAACAGGGGAACCAGCTCCTTGTTCCGGTAGGTGGTCCTCACCTCCTCATAATACAAGCTGATCAGCTCCTGGGCGGCCTGGCGAGTGACGTCCACCAGGTCGTAGCGGAAGGCCGGGCTGCTGGCCAGGGCGGGAGCAGCAGTCAGCAGCAGCCCCCAGGCCTCAAACACGTCTGATCGGTTGTACCAGACAGTGGTAACCATCTGCAGGGATGGCCGCCTGACCAGGGGGCTGCGATTGTGCCCACTGCAGGCCTCGCCGGAGCAGTTGTAGACACTCCTGAGAAGTAGCCTCCAAGCTGCCTCTGCGTCCTTGTGGGAGACCCCATAACGCCGGGCCGCAAAGCTGGTCACCCAGGCCCCCAGATCTGCCACTGGGTCCTTCCGCCAGCCCAGCTCAGCCATGAGGGCATAGACCACTTCGTTCTGGCCGATGCCCTCAGGGGCCATGCCCGTACCTACCATGGTGGAGTTGGGGAAGAGGCGGGCAGCTGCAGGGCCTCGGTTCACGGCCTCCAGGGCCCCGAACAGGCCATGGTTGCCCCCGAAGTTATGCAGCATGCACCAGATGAAGGGCTGGCCCTGGAAGGAGGCTGTGCGGATATACACGGGCTGGCTCTCTGCAAACAGGTCCAGAACCAGGAGGCGGCCACGGGGCACCGCCCTCAGCACAGCCCCCACCTGGGCAGGCCCCCAGAAGTCGGGCTGGTGCTGGAAGAGCCAGCCTTGGAGCAGCCACGTGGCCTCAGGATCCACTGTGGTCGGGGCAAGGGGGACAGAGAAAAGGGGTGATGAGAGGAGAGGGGGCCAGAGGAACACTCACCCCATTCTACAGATGAGGAAACAGAGGTCCAGAGAAGTTAAATGACTCTCTATCGCAGGACACTCCTTCCGCTGTAACCCCCCACCCAGCAGGGCATTCCATCACACACCCTTCCCCTCTCCTCCTCTTCCCAACTGGGAGCTCCAGGATGGTGTTTGTCAAGCTTTATGGAGCATCAGGATTACCCGGAGGGCTGGTTAAAGCATGGATTCCTGGGCCCTCGCCCCGGTCATTGTGATTCACAGGGTTTGGGGTGGGGCCTGAGAATGTGCAGGTCTGACGCATACAGACCTGGGGTGATGCTGGTGCTGCTGGTCCTGGTCACGCTCAGAACAGCGCTGCTCAAGGGAGCCCGAGCCCGTTTGTTCCATTCCTGGCTGACACAGAGGCCTCCCCGCCCCGCCATCCCAGACCTGGCCCGTCTCTACCCATCCCCTGAAGGGGCAGGAGGGAGCGCTGAGTATACATTTGTGCACCAGGAAGGGCACCTTCCAGCTCTGGGCACATCCCCTAACCTCCGGCCTGTGTTACCGACCTCAGCATGGAGATAGAGACCAAATACAATATTTTCAATAGCCAGCACTTCATGACACTTCACTCTGGGCTGGGCATCATTCTACTTATGAGGGAGCCCATTTTACAGAGGAAGCAACTGAGGCACTGGGATGGAGGCAACTTGCTGCAAGTCAAACAGGCAAGAAGTAGCAGTGCCAGGGTTTGGACAGGTTGTCTGGCTCCAGAGCTCACCTCTCAGCCACAGTGTTATTAAATGAGATGGTGTGTGTGTACAAGGGCTTGGTAAACTGTAAATTGCTGTGTGTTATTATTCCCAGTCCCTCCTCCCACCCCCACTGAGTTCGGCCACCCCCATCTCCCGGAGGGTCCGGGGGGCTTCCCTTCCCCACTGCCCCTGGCACCGAACCTGCAATCATGGCCTGGTAGACAGCGGCGGTGGCTGCAGCGAGGTAGGAGGGCTCCGAGGAGGGGGGCTGCATCTCGTTGAAAGTGTCGGCCCCATAGATGTGATCCGTTCCAAACTCTTTGGTCAGCTCCCACAGGAAGCGGCTCCCCACGATGGTGAATAGGCGGTCTTCCGGAGCCAGGAGGAAGGAGCAGGAGTAGGAGCAGTTGAAGTGTCCCCAGCTGCCCAACTGGGTGACATTGACCTGAGGGAACACCCTGGGGTGGGGGGGATGACAGTGTGGACATTACTGAAGGCTGACACGGTCTCATTCACCGCCAGCCTCACTAACTCATCTGCAGTTCCTGGAACTCATCCTGGTCTCTCATGCCTCCGTGCCTTTGCACATACTGTGCCCTGTGCCTGGAGTCCTTTCCTCCTCCCTCCCTGCTTCTCCAGCTGGTTATTCCCCAACATCCTTTATTTATTTATTTATTTATTTTTTTTTTTTAAAGATTTTATTTATTTTATTTTTTCCCCCCAAAGCCCCAGCAGATAGTTGTATGTCATAGCTGCACATCCTTCTAGTTGCTGTATGTGGGACTCGGCCTCAGGATGGACGGAGAAGTGGCGCCTCGATGCGCACCCGGGATCCGAACCCGGGCCACCAGCATTGCAGCGCGCGCACTTAACCACCAAGCCACAGGGCCGGCCCCCCCAACATCCTTTAAGTTTCACTTCATCTGGAAAGCTTTTGCTATCTCTCCCCCTCCCACTGGCTGAAACAAGCGACACTCAGTTTTCAAGACCTGGCCCAGTACTGCCTCTGCTCTGAGCCCTTGCTGTCCCTCTTCCCCACACAGAAGTGACCTTGACAGAGGAGAAGTGGGCCCACACATATTCCCACCCTTATCATTGTATTGCATCCCCCTGCCAACCTATCTCCCACCAGGGGCGGGAACTCAGTGCCCCTTTGTCACTGCATCTGCAGGGCCCAGCACAGAGCTGGGTCTGGCAGCCCCAAACAGCCTGACAAAGATTCGCTGAATGTATGCACGAAGCTCTTGCCACCAGCTGACCGGAGAAGGGTGGCCGGTAAGGCCAGCAGCGTGTGCAAGCACTGTGAGAGCACTGGGAACCCGGTGCTCATGGGCACGAAGGAGGTGGTGACCAACGCCAGGCTAGGCTTCCTGAAGGAGGAGGGGTCTCAGCTGGGCCTTGAAGAATGTTCCCAGCCACAGGAGAGGGTGGGGAGGTAGCACAGAGGAGCAGAGGAGCAGGAAGGACAGAGGAGACCAGTGCACCCCTACTACCACTAACAAGAGCTGCCATTTGCTAAGACTCTGTGCCAAGCCATATGTATTTTCCAAGTGAGGAAACTGAGGCAAAGAGCAGTCACGTAATCTGTCCAAGGTCACATGGCTACTCGGTAGCAGAGCCGGGACTCGAGCCCATGCCTGCATCCAGTGCTTGTTTTCCTTTAAATCATGGCCTGCAGGGGAAAATAAATTCCCTCTCTGAGCCAAGTAGGGGGTAAGGGGGAAACCTCACCTGGTGATAGCCTTGGGGACATGGCCAGCGAATGCAGGCAACACCGGGATCATGCCGAAGGAGCGCATCCGGTCCAGGATCCGGTGCTGGGAGGAATGGGACAGGGAGCTGGTGAGCACGGCCCAAGCGGGAGGCCCTCGCGCCCCAGGACACCCAGAGTCCCCACGGTCTGTTAAGAGCCCCGAAGTGGGCCCAATACCACTTCCCCGGCCCATGACTGTCCAGTGCCCATTCTGCCCCTTCCCTTCCCCATCCTTTCACCTGCAGGTACAGCTGCTTGAGGTGCCAGGAGCGGGGCAGGGGGCCATCCCAGGTGTGCAGGTTGCCCATGCGCCCCCAGGCCAAGAAGGCAGGGCCAGTGAAGTACTCATCGATCTCTGACTGGGTCAGGCCCAAGGCCAGGTACACCTGAGGAGGAGGGCGATGTATTACACACAAGTAATTACATTCATTTCCAACCATTGATTCATTCATTCAACAAACATCCATTCATCTCTTCTCTGTGCTGCGCCCTAGGGTTACTAAGACAATATGCTACCCTGCCTGCAAGGAGCCCACAGTCCAGGTGAAACAGATCTGTGAACAGGTGGGTTTACATATTCTCACCCTTGTCACATGCGTGAGGTGAGGCACAAAGGGGCTCTCCCCAAGATGGGGAAGGGGCCTCAGAAGGCTTCATGGAGCAGGGCTGGCTAGAAGGATGGGTGCGGACAGCTCTGCAGGGAGCTTAAGCAGCCCCAGGGGCAGCCAGAGCCCTCAGGGCCCAGGTAGGGAAGCTCCCAGGCTGCGCAAAGCTTGAAGGCAAAGATTTGCATTTCAGAAAGGACACTCTTGGTGGAACCTGGGGAGCCAGGAGTCCTGTTCAGAGGCTCTTGCAGGGGTCCAGGGAGAGGGGGTGAGAGCCTGAACTAGGGGATGGAGAGGATAAGGCAG